TAATCCGCTAGCAGTTTGGTACAAAAAGTTACATTAGGTAGTTATTTCAATTTGTTAGCAATTTGAACTCTAAGTGCCATCCATTAGTCCCAAATTACTAAATAAAAAGATTTAGCAAACACCTAGTTTTTAGCAGTTTTGAAATAAATAAGTTTACTAAATATCTATTCTTAGCAGTTAGACGAAACTGTTAACCATTACTCATAGACCGCTGTACTAAATGGGGCCTTAGTCTGTTTTGGTGGTTGTGTTTTTTGTTGTACAGAGATATTGGTTGTAAAACTATACAAAGTTGCTCAATCCTCATTGCTGAAATATCAAATGTTTTACCAACATACAGAGGGAGCCTTAGGTTTTCGAAACTTTCAAAATTCGAATAAGGGTTCGAGGAATCAAAAGCATTCAGTATGATTGAACTGCTAATGAACTTGCCTTTATGCTTCGTTGAATGGAAGGTTAACTTTAAGATATTATTACAACTTACAAAAAAGGATTTTTCCTTTTTGGCTAGATTAAGTTATTGTGTAAAAGTAGAATTTGGATCAGGAAAAATAGAAAACAGAGTGTGGTAGTATTTATGTCCGGTCATGCTCCCACTGTTTTTTCTTTATTTTCCTTTAGAAGATTTCAGTGCACATTATTAAGTTCTACAATCCAATATCTTTTAGAAAATTTACATCCCTATAGGAGAAACAAGTAATCTGGAGAAAATTCCAACTTATGGTGGTCACCAAGTTGTCATTATATACATAGTCTACTACTTACAATAAATTAATTGGATTCTTTCTTTACTTGTGGTGATCACGAAGTTGTCCATTCATGTGTACATGGTCCACCTACAATAAATTCCATTCTTATTGATCTTAACAACTCAATGGCCTTCACGTTAAAATGTGCAGAAGATATCATATATGGTGTACCTACAATAAATTAATGCATTCTTTTAATTCTTTTATGTTCTCCGTTGACATTGTTCAATCTTTGGTGTTCCATTGCAGCTATTTAGATATCCAAGCAGAAAGGTTCTGAAACTCAAATAGCAGAACCAAAAGGTAAAATTTGGACCATTTTTCCCTGACAGTTTTCATTTTTGTTCAGCTGAATTAATCTTGATTTTGTTATAATCACTCTAAATGAACATAATGGTTTTGGGTAAACATAAATTTGAATTTTCTTTTAGGTTTTTGATTTAAAGAGCCTGCTCATAAATCAAAGTTCAAGTCTTGTTGTCTGTTGCATAGTTGCTTCCAAGAGAGGAATTAAACTAAAATTTCCAAAGTTGATTAATTCAAATCTGTCTTAATTAACTTGTGTTTTCTAGCTTGAGAGATACCAGAGCAGGTAAGTCAACAAGTCCATGGTCTGCCATTTCTTTTAAGCTGACTTGAGCGTGTTTCACACTCCTAGTTATTTTTATTTTTGAATTTTGATATCAAACTGTCTGGCCCAGTGTACCTTTCTGTTAAGATTTTCCAAACAGGCATCTTCCTAAGCTTAGACTGTCATAGATTTATAACTTCTTTTATGCTAAACACATAAAAAGATAGGAATTAGAGGGTTCTTTCAATAATATTGTCCAAATAAGTAACTTTTTGTAACACCTGTAAAGTGAGGCGGAAGTGGAGGGTGCAAAACCAAAATTACAGAGCTGCGCACCCTTAGCAGCAAATATATATAAGGTCATATAAAATGTAGAGTTACATAAAAGCCCTTAATATAAAACAAAATTACAAAATATGCCTATTTCCTACACTCCCCCTCAAACTGAGGCTGGGAAACCAGTGTCAGTTTGCTCACTAAAAACTTGTGTCGTGCAGTTGTCATTGCCTTTGTAAAAATATCTGCAATTTGAT